TTTTGCCCCGGAGGGATGTCAAAGCAGCCGATCTCAATAGCAGAGGTGGTGGCTTACTCATCAACAGCAAGTCCTCAGGGCGAGGCTGCGCAGCGCTAATCCAAGTTGTCATTCAGTTCTCCGTATCCAGGGAGGCAAATGTGAATTACTGTTCCAAAACAATCAGCTGTGAGAGTCAACAGATACCAGCTTTGTTATGTGTGGGATTCACCCGTGCATTATAACCTTGACCTACAGAATGTGATGGGACCAGGAAAAAAATAGTCTCCTCCTGGGCCTTCTGCAGATCACACGCCACCGGTGGGAGTGACGCAGCTTTGTCAGGCGAGATACTAAACGCTTTCACCACTGTTTCCATTGCTGCACGCGAAGCCCAGCCGGGAGGATACCTTGGTGAGTTAGCTAGATATTTACATCTGGAGACCACTCTGCAAGTCCTTTGGTGTCCTCTCCCTGCTGCCCAGTGGGAACCTTCTGCAGCTGCAGTGACCAGAGCAGGTCAGTCTGGGAAGCCTCAGCCAACTCCCTGCTCTGCTCAGTTCAGATAGAGCAGCTTTATTTTTATTCAGATCTCCGGCTGCTGCTAAGAGGTGATGTTCGTCACTCCACAACAAGGGCTCCACATCAGGCACCCATTTTCAGTTCTTCAGGGCTCCTCAGCCTCCTTTGGTTTCCTCTCCAAACTGATCAGTGCCCAGTTTGTGTCTTTGCAGAACAAACTCCTGAGACCCGCTGGCACTTGCCAGGAACAGTGGAAAATTATGCACCCAGAACAGAAACAAGGATTTGAAGTTTACCAACAAGACAAAAAAAAAAAAAGAATTGCGTTTTTTTATTTTATTGTGCTAGTGAGTCCTTGTAGTCAAGGTAGATGTGTTTTAAATAAACATGCTTGCGGGTGTGGCAGAACTGACTCTACGAGTCTAAACTTTTATTATCCAATTAACATACAAACTTACTGCTTCTACTTTTTGCTTCGGTGAAGGACTTATAAGATGTAAGAGCATGTTCGTTGTGAACTTTTGCTTCGTAAATGAAGGGAAGGGTACCCTCTTTTTAAAAAAAGCCATCTTTTACACATCATCCAGATTGAAATTATTTCAGTAAAATAGTCTTGGGAACCCCTTTGGTTGTTCAGCATCCATTTTTTGGCCACACTTCTGTCTTTGAGCACAGGACTAAATACAGCCACATCTTGGCCAGACCACTCTATTTAAAAGGTCTACAGAGCATTACAGTATATTGCAAGTCCAATGATTGCCCAAGTCTTAGCTTTATAAGGGCCCTTAGGGAGCTGTCAGACTGTTGCAGACTGTGGTGGCTTAAATTAACCTGGTTTATTTGTGAAATATAGATATTTGTGGGCAGGCCAGCAGCCAGCACATCACTGCTAACCAACAGCTCCTGAGGTTGCGCTAAGCTACTTGTAATTGGGGGGCACCTGGGGGGTGGACGGTGGGGGGACGTCTTCCAGCAGAAAGGGTTTCAAGCTGGAACCAAGCCTGGAGACTTCGGGGAAAAACATCTGACTTCCAGGGCTCTAGAAGTAAGCCACGAGGGTCAAAGCAAGCTCCTGGCTAGAGAGTGGCTAAGTGGGGAGTAAGAAAAGGGAGCACAAATTATGTTGCTGTTATTGGCTGGATCCTGCCATGTGCCAGAGCCTGGAAAGCTGCATGGATCCGCTGTCCAGGAAGAGTTTCCTTTGCTCTCCCTGGGGACCAAGCCCTGAGGGCCAGGACAAAACCTGGATCCTCTGCTGTGCAGCTCGGAGACAGAGAGATTCTGCTCTGGCATGGGAAAGAAAACATCTCACAGCATTTCGGCCTTTGGCTGTATGAACGTGCCCTTCTGCTCCTTATGGGCACCCACGTTGCAAGGCTTGGCTCAGAGAAGCAGGACCTACCAATATATCAATTTACAGAAGCCTGTCTGAGGAGGGGCAGAGCAGGCAGCTCCCATGAACTTCTGCAAAGGAAGCAGAATGGATTTTGTTTTCCAGCCCAATTTTTGCTGGTTGCATTCATTTCTTGGAAGCGCTGTTGATGGTTCTGCCTGGTTTTACGGCTTCGCTGCAGGAAGCTGGGAATAAGGGAAAGGAGGGGAATCCCGAGCCAGGCAGCATGCGCGCATGGGCAGCGTGGCCCTGCTCTGTAACAGGCGGCACTGCCAGCCAAGAAACCCTGCTGGGAAGGTGCAAGCACTATTGATTTAAGGTATTTACCCTGCAGGTGAATTTCCACATCTCGGTTTCGCTGGAATGAAGGGGCTGGTGAAATAACCGCAGGAACCACCTTTATGAACTGGGACACAGCTGCAAAGTGCTGCAGTCCCTGTGGCGGCTGGCTGACCTGGGGTGTTTGATTACAGCCTGGCTATCTCCGGGGGTAAATAGAGCTGATTTGGCTGCAGTGTTAGACCGGAGCCAGGTCAGAGGGGGTTTGCTCGGTGAAATAGCGGCTAACTGCAAGCCAGGAATGAAGAGACAGTTCAACAGGGGTTGTGAGCGTGTAAAGTTACTGCTGATGACGAAGTGCGGATTTGAGGATATTATATTGGGTAAGTCTCCAAATTTGAGTTGCACTTTTATAGGCCACTGAACCTTTTGCCAGGGAGGCAAACTTTAACCAGAGGACAAGCAAAGGACAGGATGAAATCATTCCTTTAATGGCAAAGAAATAGAAAACCAGGAGAGCTGTGCTTTTTAATGAGACCACAGACACAGTTTCAGGCCTGAAACATTCATTCCTTTTGAGAGCCGGCCCAGCAGAGTAAACCTCATTTGCAACTTGGCATTAATACCCGAGTTATCCAGTATTACCATAACTCCGAGTGAACAGAGATCTCAGAGGCAAAGATAGCTTTCAAAGCTAATATAAACCGACTGATAGATCTTTCAGCTGAAAAAGCCAGGGAATTTGTGTGTCAGAAAAAATTCCTTGGTGTTTTTCTGGGGTAATAAATGGACTTTTCAGTTTAAACATTAAGGTCTAGCAAAAACAAGCAAATGACAAAGTGGTTGGATGCTGAATGTGCATGCAGCCCCAGTGGCTGCATTGCTGGGAGCACCACGGGCTGCACCGGATTCAGGCCATCCCTCGCAGGGCATCCTGCTTGGGGACCAGAGGGGACACAGGGGCTGTACGGCCTTGTCCAGCTGGAAGGAAAGGGGTACGTGTGATGGGCATCGTGACATGGAGGGGGGTGAGAGGTTTATCTTCCCAAGCTGCAACAGTGGCTGCAAAAAAGATGAACAAGTCAAGTTGCGCAAAGTTAACTTAGCAGTGTCATTTCTAAGCAAATTTGAACTGGTGGAAGGTTTATGCCATGTGAATCCCCTGTGCTGTGCAGCTGAGTTTTCTTTTTCTTCTTTTTTTTTTTTTTAATCTGGTTGCTGGGATGCCAGTGCTGGATTTACTGTTTTATCAAACCACAGCCTGGGAAAAGAAGCAGCGGCAGCAGATGCTGACATGTCATGGCTCAGGGCTAGAGGGATTTCACAGCCGATGCTTCTGAACAGCTTTGTGGGTGGGATGTGCTGCGGGCTCACTCCTACGAGGGTGGTGGGTGGCAGCCCTGCTCGGAGCTGGCAGCCCTCCCCAGGGCACGTGTGGGTGTCTGTGTGGGTCTGGGGGCTGTGCGGGTGGGAGAGGTTCGGCAGGGTCTGCCCCTGCATGTGGGAAATGCAAGGAAAGGGAAACTGGAGATCCACTCCCCAGCAGTTTTCCTGCAGCTGGTTGGGAAGGACGGTGTTGGCATGGCCAGAAAGGTGAAAGCCCGTCCTGGGTGCTGTGGTGGGAGCACGGATTCCAAGCTCAGATGTTGCAATGCAAGTTTTCCCTGAGCCCTTTCCAGCACCTGTTTGCCAAACGCCCTTTCAGAGAGGTTGCTGGAGCAGCTTTCCTGCAAATGCTGTTCTTGCCACGGCATCTCTGGCAGCTGCCCAAGAAATTTAGGCAATTAATGAGCAATAAGACACATGAGCAGTGAGAGGGAAGGGAGGTGTTTCGCATGAATGAATTACATGTGTTTGACACTGCCTGAAGTAACCTATTTGCAAGAACATACCTTATCATATTGCACTTTCACAAAGTTTAAGCAAAAGAGATTTCCCAGGAGCTGAATAACTGGCAGTATTTTTACTGGCCAGAGTATAACTAAGATGGTTTAAGGCAGCGTGTTAAAGCAGGCAGCATGCAACCTCTGCAATATATTGACCTGATCAAATGTGTAATAGTAACAAGGCTTTCTCCCCTGAAAATGAAAGCTTTAAAATCCTCCCTCTGTTTTACATAGAGGTGGAAGTAAGACCTGTGGAAATTTTTCATTAGAAACAGAGACAGAAACCAGTGTTCAATCACGGATTTATAGCAGAGCCTCAGACGCAGCACTTTGACATTGCAGTGGACGCTGTAACCTCTGGGATTTTACGGTGGATTTCTGGTTCCCTTTTTGGCTTGTGCTTCCTTCTCAAGGCAGAGAGACTTTTCCAGATTTGTGTTTCACCAGAACTGATTTCTTCCCCTGCATAATTCTGGTTTTGGTGAACTGGTGTTTGTAGGAAGCAAAAAAAGTTCCCAGTCGATGCTGCAGAGGTCTGCAGCAACCACTTCTACCATTTTATAGTTAAGGTGACTGTCATCCTGAGGTTCATATAAATAAGCTCACATTCCTGAAAATATAAATATTTCTATAAATATTATTCAGGAAGATGGAGAAGCAAGTCTCTGAGAAAAAGATAAAGTTATATAAACAAATGTTATCTGTCTGATGTAACACTCCAAATACCTCATCCACTGAGTAATCTGGATATGACATAACGGGGAAGCTGGACGAGAGCTGGCCAAGTGAAATGTTCTCACCCTGAAACAAAGGAAAGCGAATCAAAGGGAGGTGGAATTGCCCGTTCCCAGGCTGCTTGTCCCCTGTGACCTTCCTCACGCTCTGTTACATGCATTTCCGACAAAAGCCTTTTTTCCCCCCCCCTTCCTTTAAACAACGTAATGGATACTCCTCCGTCCGTGTGCTGGGAAACGTCTCGCTGCAGAGGAAGCAATGTGGCTCCACTGGAGCAGATCCCCGTTTGCAAGCGGACCGTGTGCCGCTTTCCCAGCATTAGGTGAGAAAAATTACAGGCCTTTGAAAGCAATCCCACAGCTGAAACAATAAAGTCTTACTCTAGGCCAATATCATTATGGATGAACCATCTTCCCTCCTTTCCTCATGTGAGCAGTCCCAATAGTCTTTGAATACTGCACTGATAAGGGAAGCAAAAATGCACGGGATAAAAGTGCTTATTCTGTTAAGGGCTGAATGACTGAGCCCCAAATTCTCACTCTTT